GTCAGGTAGCAGTGCTGGCTCAGAGTGATTCTGCTGTCCTGTTCAGCCACTGGTTCATTCCAGCGGTTGTCAGGAACTTCTTCAGCTGCTTGGCAGAGATTGAAACCTCATGATTGCTAGTCTAGGGAAATAGTCTAATTATGTGTTAGAAATGTTAGACAGCATTGCCCCCATAAGTGGACTATTTCTTGGAAACAGGTCAGCCTGGGTGTGTAAGAAACCAAGAAACAGCCATTTTTGAAGATAAACAATAATGAGTTTTTTCATCCCTGTTTTCTGCAATATTACAGAGTCACATTACTACTCAAGCAAGCTGGTACTGGTATGTCCACCACCCACCTGCCTCTTAGCTATGGGGGAGAACTGTCCTCCACACTCAGTGGTGTGTTACTGAAACTTTCTCTGTCAATGTCCCGGAATTATCTCTGTGTGCATCCTATGGCTTTAGGACTGTATAAACCTCTGTGTACAAGGCTTCTTGCATTGGTCAGTGTTATCTCTCTGCCACTAAAGGTCGTGTTTTGTTATTTAGTGCTTTCTAATTTAAAATTGTGGGATACCACTGAAATCACAAAATGGACCTTTCATTGCTTCTTTCTGAAAAGTTTTCTGCCTTCATTTCTACACAATTGGTCTCTGTAGACAAGCCTATGGTATGATTTACCTTACTATCCCCACTGGACATATATATCTAGCAGGATTTGTCTTTAACCTGATTCTTTACACCTTCCAGGTGTTTTGTAGGTTATGAAGTACCCAATATTCTAAATTCTCCACTTTCAGAGAAACATTTCCCTGGAAAAGTGTCCCTTTCTCATTATACTTTTTCTCAGCATAGGATTTTCCTTCAGATTTAAGCCTAAATCAAAATTAAGATGTTTTGTCTTTGGCAGACTGAGCTCAATCAAAAAGAAAAAAAAAAGGGGGGGTGAGGAGAGTTGTCTTTGTATGGTGGGTCTCAAGTTTGAAAAACAGAAGTGCTGTTAGAAATGTGTTGCGAGCACTTGCTTGTTATAGTGAACCCCCAGCAGAAAAAATAAATTTGATTTCTTATAAGGAAATATGTTTAGATGCTTCATTGCATTCGCACAGCCATGGGTTAGCTGCATGCTCTTGGCTGCTGCAGCTCCCCAGCTCCTGCGAGGCTGTTGCTTAAGCGGGCAGTATGTTTGTCTTACCCTGAGGTTTCAAATCGATGTAAAAATTGTAAATGAGCAGCTGACAAGGGACATGTAATAGAATAAATGTTCATTACCTTCCTGTCCAGTCAGCTCTCCCTGTTTAAGGAGAAGGGTGTAACAGCATTGGTGTCCTGTCTGCACACAACATACTGCATGGCAGGAAAGTCGGTCGATGTGGCGTCAGTCACTACTTGACTTACTTATTGTCTTAGATGCTGAATTGCCACAGCCTGTCAGATAGCTCTGTCTTCAGTCTCATCTTAAAAACTCCACACCTAGACCTGATTAGAGCAAGCTCTAAGTCTTTACTTTATGGAGCGACACCGGTGACATTTCCTACAATCACCAATCAAGAGAGATTCTTTCCATAGTAACCACACAACAGTGATGCTTTTCTTTCTGATCTTCTACAGTTGTTGGCTGAAATAGTATGAACCCTTCAAGACATAAACATTCTTTTACTAAACAATATTGTCTTCAGAATTAAGACCTTAATATTTTTGTATGTCATGTTGTCCCATATAGGAAGCCATTCATATATATGTCTAACACCATTGTATCAGAGGAATAAATTGTAGAAATGCAATTAAAACATAATCATTAAACACTTAATTTCTCTTTGTTTTGTACACCTCCAAATCTGTTCCTCAGTATTGTCAATGTTTCACTTTGCCACTGTGATTGTCATTCACTGTTTACTTGCTGTATTTTTAACATTTAATCATTCATTAGAAATCTTAAAGATCTACAGAGGTGATAAAGTATAAAAAGATGCCTAAAATCGGATTGAATTTTATTTCATTCTATGCATTTAGTGCTGTCATTGTTAGCTGAGATTCCCTTAGCTCACTGTACTCTGCCCATAATCTAATCTATCCTGAAGAGGCAAGCAGCAGTGTATGAAGTGATTATAAGGATCTTCAAGTGTCTTCAAGGATTTTCTGTACTTGGACTGCAAAAGCATTTTGCTCTGTTTTGATAGAATGGGCACAATAAATCCCATTGTTACAGTTCCTAGAACACCACCTATTAATAAGGAACAATCTAGAGGGCAAAGAACATGATACAAATTCATCACAAGTGGACTCAGAAATAATCCTATTGGGTTTGACTGTGTTGCCTGGCATCACAGCAGCTGTGAATTTCAACCCTTTGCTGCAAGTCAGATATGGTTAGCTCTCCCTCCTGCCTGGAGAACATGAATTTTTCTGACTGTAATGTTTTGCAATGCAGTGCTTTCTGTTATTCTCTATTTTTTTATTATTTGGTTAAAATATGTTGCACCTGCAGCCATGTGCAGCTATAAAGGCATAATTTTTTGGACTGGAACACATTCTCACTGGCTGCCTCTTAAAGGCCACTGCCTGCATGTTACCTCATTACTTTGTTTGTCAAAAGACTCTGGCATTGTGCAAGCTGAGTTCTGCATTTTCAAATGTTTGAGATATTAAAAAGCAGCAAAGGATTATATCACTACTGCCAGCTCATTCCTACTGCAGCTGGCTTGTATGTTAATCAGAGATCTTCCCTTTCTACTCTAACGGTCTGAAAAGTGTGCACCCCCTGGGGCCATGGAATAGCTGCCCACGTGGGTGTGGGTAGCTGCTACCTAGTGGTTTGTTTCGTATTAAACTGGTGCTGCTCTAAACTAAGCCTGGCCACTTCATTTGTCCAGTTGCTTTTCCATCCCACTGGCAGACCCTGCTCGTGTTGTTTTGCCTGATATAAACCCATCTGGCTGCCCTAATGTAATCTGTTCACTAATTCCCAGGTTGTTTATTATGGACCCTGCCCAACACCCGCTGAAGACAACACAACCTTCAGCTGCCTCGGCAGCTGTTGGACCAGGCCTATAAAACAGGGACTTTTTTGCTATTTTAAAGGTATTATGAGCTTGGGTTACTTAAAAACTGTACAGTATGTTTTGATCAGGATGAAAGAATGAAAGGCAATAGAAAAAATTGCCTTTAAGGTGGCACCTTCCATTTTCCAAGTGTTTTGTATTGTTTGGATTAAGGTAGTCACCCAGACCCCTGAAATGGTCAGGACATGGAGATGTTCCCATCAGGCAGGACTCCTCACCCCTTTCAGACTCCTCTTTGTAAACAGGGAAGTCTATTGTCCATCAACTGTGTAGGCAACAAGTTTAGACTAGACATCAATTTTACCAGACAGCCACCAGTGGATCCTGTGAAAACAGAGGAAGATCTAGGGTGGATCCTACCATTTTACTGTTGAGAAATAAAACTTTTTGGTTATTTCGATCCAAGAACACAGGAGGAAGTGTATGAAGTGATTATAAGGATCTTCAAGTGTCTTCAAGGATTTTCTGTACTTGGACTACAAAAGCATATTGCTCTGTGTGAAGGAGACAGTCCTGTAGGTGCCTTGGGGAGTTTGAATTCACCTTGGGGAGAAGGGGAGCGTCTCACCACAGGAAACAATGATCATCAACTGGGGGGAGCATCAATTTCTTCTTCCCAGTTCCAAAGAGGAGAGACAGTAGATTGGCTTCAAATGGTGGTACATTTCTCACTAGCTGCTTCTGACATCATGTAATGATACTGTACTATTCTTCATTTTTTAAAAGCATCACTTTGGTCCAGAATGGACATTTTATTGAACACTCATTAGACACTCCAGGCAGCATTCATAAATCTGTCTCTGTGGCCCAGAGATTCTATTCTGACAACAGTGTGGAAGTCTTGTATATATTTTGCAATTCTACTTAAGTTATCCATACATCACATTTTAGTTGTGACTGTCACTCGCATGACAAATTCTCAGGCAGGTTTGTCGGCAGAGAATAGCTTCCCACAATTCAGGTATAATGCTAAGCTTCCAGTAAAACTGATGATGTTGCCTCTTGGAGCCAGCATACTCAGGCTCCAAAACTTAAGCCCAAAGGGCATCAGTCATTAGTAAATCTGCTGCACAATGCGGTATGCAGCAACTTGCCTTAAATAAAATATAATTAAGGTGATTTAACATAAGCTGTATCCAATAATATTTCTTAACGGTTCATTTAAGGGAAACGAATTGCTAGTTTTATTGTCTGGGTACTTTTTTTTTCTTCTCCTTTTTTTTTTTAAGAAGTTTTTTTTTTCCGAAGAGCTGTGACCACCCAGATTACTATTACTTAGTAACAGATCCAGGTCCTGGCTAAAAGGAGACTTAAAACCACAGTTTGGGTAAGGGAATCCATCTGTGGTAAAATCTTTTCAGGTTTTATCTGCATTTTGAACTAATCTAGGAATTGAGGCAACTTCTGGGTTGCTCAGTTTGGTTCTGGCTATAAAGATATATAAAGATATATCAAGAAGGGAGCTCCTGTTGCCAGTGTACACTGCAGATGCTCCATGAGCCTGTTTTAGAGCAAGACCAAGTGAACATAGGCCTGTGTAGCAACCTGGTTTCCACCAGAGGTACAAATAAATCTATCATCTCATTCAGGTCAAGTCCTTGAGACAGCTGGGTGACTGGGATGGAGGGTATGCTGCAACACGCAGCTATCAGTCAGCTACACCTTGCAGCTTACATCATGATTTCAAAGGCAAAGTAGGATGGCAATAAATGCAATGTAATTACAGTTTTCCAGACCATGAAAAGACAATGCAATCAACATGTAGATAAGGCTTGTTAGTTTTTTCAGAGTATGCATGTAGTAGTGGATGCTGCCCAAAGTTTCAATCGATTCCCAAGAGTGAAGTATCATCAGAAAACTCAGAATCCAGCACACTGTTCTTCTGCAGCCTCCAAGCTAATAGTTATTAATTACTAATGATTAAAATAATAATTCATATGTGTTTGGTTTTGCAGGTAATATTTTGGCACCAATATGGGAAAGCAGAACAGCAAACTACGCCCTGAAGTCATGCAGGATTTGCTAGAAAGTACAGACTTTACAGAACATGAGATCCAGGAGTGGTACAAAGGCTTCTTGAGAGACTGCCCGAGTGGACATTTGTCTATGGAGGAGTTTAAAAAAATATATGGGAACTTTTTCCCTTATGGGGACGCTTCTAAGTTTGCGGAACACGTATTCCGCACTTTTGACGCCAATGGAGATGGAACAATAGATTTCAGAGAATTCATCATAGCCTTGAGTGTAACGTCAAGAGGGAAACTGGAGCAAAAGCTGAAGTGGGCATTCAGCATGTACGACCTGGACGGGAACGGCTACATCAGTAAGGCAGAGATGCTGGAAATCGTGCAGGTATGTGCTGCTTAGAGGCACCTCTTGGCCTCCATCTTTGCAAGCAAATTATGAAGTAATGTTGCAATGAGACACTGAACAAAAAACTCTGGCAGCATTTGGGGGTTTATGATCTTGGTTATAACTGCTTGAATATAAAAGGTTATTTCACTTGGCAAAGATCGTCTCACAATTCAAACTACAGCATTTGATATCCATTGTGAGTTTTTTCCTGAGCAACACGCTGCATGGGAAGTTGTCCCTTGGGAGCTCTGCTGGGCTGGAGCACAGCAACTAACCTGCTGATAAATGTGATTCTGCCCTCTGGGAAATCACTGACAATTAATTACAATTAATTACAGTGGACCGTGTAGGCATCCTAGATCAACTAGGTAGTGTACTTTTAAGGAAGGCAGGCTCCTTACGCAATAAGAAACAAATCTAATTTGAAATCATGCTGTTGTGAAGAACCAGCTCACATATTTTAGAAGGTGTCTGTCTGCCTAATTCCAGTAAGGTCTGTGCACTTAGTATCATACTAGCTGTCTTTGTACTAAGTGCCAGGATAGATAAACCTTATCTGGGTAGACAATGATTCCATACACATCTTCTCAAGATGTATTTTCTTGTGGTGTTAGTAGGAGTCTCACCTCATTTTGACTTCCTCTAACATGTTTTTATCCTTGAGGCACATCACTCTACCTAAAGCTTTAAAACATTTTTGATATGGTAGTATATTTACGCAGCTTGAACCTGTGTAATACAGCCCTGTTAAAAAAAGAAAAGAAAAAAAAAAGAAAAGCCTGTTATCTACATCTTTTTTTTCTGTGGAAATGTTGAAGTGCCAGCTGTGGACTGTATTATTCAGACTTCTATTTGTGCTGGAAATCAAAGGAAAGTAGTGGCCACATATTACAGGCTGTGATGGCAAACTGTACCTACTGAGTCAGCCTAATGTATGGTGCCCTTGTCTTTCTGCCAGAGCTCTTCTCATGTCCTCTAAACAGTGGCTAACAACAGCACTTGCACTGCTTCAGCAAGACCAGATACAATTCTCAGCTGCAAATATAGGGTTGTGTCTTTCACTTACTCTGTTTTGCATTACTGTGTCTGAGTAGAAGAGCAAATAGCGTTCAGATGCAGAGACCTCCCTGCCTCTGTGCCATGACAAACCCCATGGAATATTTGCATTAGAAGAGAGTCTGTTCCTTACAAACCTTCCTCTCCCCTGGGTAAGGTAAACAGGTTGTCAATTATTGTTTTTCTAGCTGTATTTCTCCTCTTGAGAAAACAAAGAACATCCCAAAGGCACTAGTAAAGTACAAAGCAAACACAAAGAGCCAGACCTGAGCAACCTCCTGCTCCTCAGGAAGAGATGCCTCAAGGACCACAGGACTCCTAGCTGCTGTTGAGCAGCAGCCTGGGAAGACCTCAGTGCTGAAGGGCAGCATAAACCCCCAGACCAGAAGATTTATGAACAGGGAGAACAACAGTGGCTGGATTCTCTGTAGCAAGCCAAGCGGGGACCAGCAAAGCTGGCAGCATATTCCAGTTACCCCAGATCTGCTCATCAGCATGTTTAGAGGCTGAAATCCTCTGCCTCCTCTTCATATTCATGTTAGTACCAAATTGTAGCATTGCCCTTTATAGCCACGATGGCAACATCAAATGAACTTGCAGTTTAGGGATCAGTGTAGGGTGACATTTTGCCAGTTTGTACGTCCAACCCAAAGCAGCACTCAGACAGCCCTCAGCCTGGCACTCCAGCCCTCCCACTGCACTTCTTGGGAGACTGGCTCTCTCCTCCTTTCAGATTGCAACAGAATGATGCTTTCTCTCATTTACTCTCACCCCACATTTTGAGGGACCACACAAAAAGCAATTATAGAAGTAAACAGCCAAATTTGCTTGAGCAACAGTGATTTCTGTACCATGAACCATCAACAGTTCCCAAATAGCAAAGCTACCCTTTCTGTGATGGAGCTTCCTCTGAGGCAATGTGCTTATAGACCTCACCCTGTTCTCCCAGTTTTTTATGGTCACAGTGATCTCCCTGTATTGCACTGGTCACCTGCAGCTCCTCCCAGTGGGTTAGGATGTGTTGTGTAGTCTCTGGAAGCATGTTCAGATGATACATGGAGCTGAAGTAGATGAGCACATTTTCTGGCTTTATTGAGTGATTAGACTTAAAAAAAAAACCCAACCAGCTAACAATTATCACTTTCATTTACAGAAGATGATTGTTTTTTAATATGGAAAGACAGGCTCTTAGCCATCACAGACTTTCTATAGTGAAAACCAGAACTCTGTTATATCTTTGATGTATGTCTCAGAGGAACCTATTACAAGTCCCTTATCTAGCATTCATTTGCATATTGGTATAGCAGGATTTATTGTGTTTTCAAAATGAATGCTGAAAGAAACAACATCAATCTAAAAGTCTTAGTTTCACAGAAAAATACTGCCCCTGTCACTGTGGGATTACTGCATCTTAAATAACATAGTGGCAAGGCATGCTTCTCTTTCAGTCTGCTTTTTTTTGTGCTTTGAAAGTCCTGTCTCCGTAGCGATTTTCACTGTTACGCTGAGGGTCACTTGCATTGCCTTTCTCATGCTCTGGCTTAATCTAACACCACTGCAGGCAATACTGGCATTGAACTCTTGCTCAACATTGCAAGAAGGTGCTTGTGGTAACAGCGGTAGCAGCAGCACTGAAAAAGCAGAGTTACTACAGGATAAAATGGCTCATGCCCCACGGACTCACCATGCCTGTCCATGCCCTTAGACCAGTCTCCAAAAAGCCCTGCTTAAAGCTGGATGCACAGTTTGGAGGATCATATAACATGAAGGACTTCAGAGGAGGGTTAATGATTGCAGGCCTAATGAAAAAAGGTCCTTGAGATACTGCTCCACCTACCAGGCATAGCACATCTGTCGAGTACTGTGGGAAGATGCCTCATAGCCTGCCCTCTTGACAGACCTCAGATTCTCCTGCTCTAGAAATGCTTTTCATGTCTCCCATATGTTTACCTATAATCTAAATAGCCCAGTCCACCCAAAAATAGCTGAAAACCAACTAGAATATTTGTGTTTGTTCCCCTTGCTGAAATGGGACATATTTGGTGAGTCTCTTAAAATAAGAGTTCATACAAGATATGGAAACCTTGTTCTAAGGATATGTTTTTTCATCATACGGAGTCATAAGGCATCTTAAGAATACTGAGCTGAGAGACAAGAATAACACTTCCAGTTTAATACAGAGCACACATGTTTCATTTGCTGGGCTAGCTTATTTGGAAGCCAGGAAGAAACAGACACAGATATGGGAAGACGTAAAAGCTGATTGGGTTCTCAGTGAAGACAGTGTCAAAAATCCCCATGAGATTGAGAGGAAAGCAATTATTTCAGGCTGATTATTCATTTAATGAGACTTTTAGCTGTCAAAATTTATTTCAACAGAGCAAAAAGAATCAACTGAAAATTTGTGCTGTCATTGCTGCCATCGCCGTAAGTTGCTCTTTGACACTTTGTGAACTATAGCCAGAAAGTACAGCCCCAACAAAGGTTTCTGGGTGGCAGACAGTGACTAGGAGCCAAGCCTGTGAGCATGGGCAAAGGGGTGAGATTTTCCCTACATCCCCCCTTGCTGCTCATCCACATGCAGGTGGGAAATCCAAGGGAGAGCTCAGGAGGGACCCAGCCAGTTCAGATGAAGCTGGAGCCTGTGCTTACTGCAGCGATGCACACAGGGGTCTGGAGGCACAAGTTCTTGGTGGCATTCAGGGGCAGCAGGCAGCTGTAAGGAGCCCTCCTGACAGAAAGTTGCCCTGACTTGGGTGGCTGCTGGTAGATAACAACCTCCTCCTGTTGA